CGGCGCTGCTGCACGTGCTCAACACGAACCCGGAGCTGCTGCTGCCGCAGGCCACCGCCACCGCATGACGGCATGAGAGGCCGGCGGGTGGTGGGGGTGGTGGTGGTGGCGGTGGTGGTGGTGGTGGAAGTGGTCTTTCAGCTGTGTATGTATGGCCTTTCGGTACCTTTGCGTCAGAGATCGCTCTCGACTAATGTCGTGAACAAGGAAGGGGAAGGGGAGATCGCGTAAAAGTGCGCCTGGTGATGTGAGGAGCGTACCTTCGCTAAGGGGGAAAGGCAGCACTGTGGGGTGTGGGAGGGAGGGAGGGAGGGGTGCGAGGTCGGGACGTGCAGCGTTCGACTAGCTCGCGCTTTCAGAAGGTTCGCTTAAGTGTTGTACATATTTGTCGACTCCCGGGACTCTAGAGGGAGAGAGGGAGAGGAAGAGAGGTAGGCGAATCACGCAAGAGAACGGCACGAGTGGGTGGCTGGGAGGTGGCGGGAGGGGGGAAGGAGGAGCGGCACCGCGCCGCGCCGCGCCGTTACTTACGGGGGTGGACGTGCCCGCGATGCCAGGCAGATGACAGAGGGGGGACACACCCACAGCATCAGCATCGGCAATCAGCAATCAGCATCAGCGCGCGTCTTTGGACATTCCGGGTTGGGTGGGTGGGTGGTTCGTAAACCCGCTGGTGCCGCAGTGCCACCGCTCCGCGGGTGCAGTCCGGTGGGGCGCGCTTTGGGTCGTGAGGACCGGTGGGGACGGAGGCCAGACGGGGGGTGGGTTGGGTGGAGGAGAGACAGAGGACCGAGCGGCAGCGACAGGGAACCAGCGGAGAGCTTGAGAGCGGAGGGGGTTTTAGGGTTTATGGGGGGGGTGCTTTTGGCGCTTTTGCGGCCTCCCAAGAGGGAGGTGGAGGAGGGCAGTCTGGGAGGGAATTGCGGTGCGGTTTGGATGTTTGGAGGGCGTTTGAGCTGCTATCTGGTGGGTGGGAGGGAAGGGGAGGATAGGGGGAGTGAGTGAGGGGGGCTGTGGCTGCCTTTGGGGCGGCTGGCGCCGACATCGCCGTCGCCACCGACACGGCCAATGACGGCTCAGTGACTCAGTGAGTAAAAATTCCCAACAGAACAACAGTCGTGCGAGGCGTTGATGGCGCGCACAGCCGGTTTTCGTGTCTTCGTGATCCGCGTCTTTACTACTTCTTTCCGCGGTTTTGCTCGCGGCGGTGGTCCCCTCCCCTTCCCTCCCCTTCTCTCCCCTTCCCTCCCAGGGGGAGGTGGGGTGTGACTGACCCCCTGGCACCCGGGTTTGTTGGTGCGGCCGCGGCGTTGTTCTTTATGGTTTGTTTGTTTGTTTGTTTGTTTGTTTCATATTGACACGTCTGAGCGCCTGCCTGGACCTAATCCCCGCACACCAGTGTTTTGCTGGCTGCGCTGGCTGGAGGGCGGGCGGGTCGTGGGAAGGGGTCTGGGCGGCTGGCGGGTTTAGCGGTTTTAGCGGTTTTAGCCCCTGTGCCTGGTCGCCTTTGCCTCCCGTGTTCGCCGCCTGATGATGATCTGATGGTCACCTTGCCTTCCCCGGGGGGAAGGGGGTGTTTCCGGGCCGCCGGGGAGCATGCGCATGTGTGCATGTGTGTGTGTGTCTGTCTGGAGTGGGGCGGGGGAGGGTTGATGGCGGGAGGGGGGGCCGATGGCTGGCCGCCCTCCCCTCCCCTCCCCTCCCCTGGAGCCCACGTGTGGGGTCACCTCCGGGTGGGCCCACCCTGGAGCGATGTGCCTACACGGGGCGGAAAGTGGGCCGGCATTCCCCTGGCGGGCAATCGAACCCCCTCTCTCGCTCTCTCCGGGGTGCGGGGGAGCCCTCCCGATGGGTGATTGATTCCCGGTTGCGGCATTAGGGTGTGGGCCTGCCTAGATTGCGTAAGTGATTGATTAATTGGTTGGTTGGTTGGTTGTGATCAGCTGTGTGTGCATGTGTGTATATGTGTGTGTTTGTGTTTGCGCGCACAGCTGCACACACGGGCGCTTTCGGCGACTTGGAGTGTGTAGCAGATTGGATGTGTGCCCTCATCAGTGATGAGGGGGGGCTGAATGGACCTCATCGCAGTTCTCTATCTCTCGGGAGGGAGGAAGGGAGGGAGGGAGGGAGGAGTGTAGAGAGGGCGGTAGATTTGGGGGGCGGCGCCTCTCGGTGTGTGAGGGGGGGTGCGTCGTTGTATATGTAGCGATAGTAGCATCTTAGCGGGGCCTGTGTTCCCTGGGCTGGGCTCGCCTCGGCTAGCGGGTTGCTGCGGCGGCGGATGGGTCGGCCCAGTGGCGCCGGGCTTGTGAACACACACCGTACTTTGCTCCAGACTTGTGCATTCATCATGATTGGAGTTGCGTACATCTGGTATGTCGTTGGTATGACCACCAGAGCTTAGTACGTGCGTAATTAATTGGTTTTACGGTTCCTCCGCATGAACAGATTCGGCAGTTAGTGAGTTTTGCAGGAGTGGAGTTACATAAGAGGCGTACACGCTGTACGAAATTAAGCTATTATGCCGTACATCAATCCAGCGCCGGGCCGGCCGGCCTTGAGGGATTATTTAGCGCACGTTGACATGTAAAAGAAAGAAACAAGAGCTGCCCGTTTATGTTTATGACGGTGCGCGAAATGAAAGGCGCCCACCACCACCGAGCGCTTTGGACACGAGAGTACGGTATGCAGCATTACCGTATTGTGTACAGCCGCCACAAGGTCAACGGAGACAACGTCTATGAATATATAAATGAAGGTACGGCAACATCACCATCACCACTAGCAGCAGCTCCCTCACGCCCTCTTCGGGCCATACCACTCCACAGCGCTCCCCCTCCAAGCCCCCCCACCTGATCGCACACTTCACAGCCGGGGAGTCAGTGTCGGGTGCCTCCACCCGTAGTCCTCCTCGACCTCGGGTCAAACCACGAATCCCGCACACAGGATCCCTTCACGTCCCATCACATTACATCACATCACATCACACAATACATCACGATTACATCACACACGACATCACATCACATCACGTCAGATAACGTCAGATCACAAGCATGCGAGTCTCTCAGTGTGTTTTGCCGCCCTGCTCTCCCCCCTCCCGCGGCCCCCGTCGGCCCCCGCCTGTGTCCCCTCGCGGCCCCCCCCCCCTCCGCCGGGCCTCCTTACGGCGGGAGACCCTCCCTCTCAGCCTCCGCCAAAGCGCCTCAACCTCCAACCGACCCAACGACCCAACGACCGACGCGGCCCCTCACACTGCATTGGCCTGCACCGCCCCGTCCCCCCCCCACCGCCTGCGGGGCGGGCGGCTGGAAGGGCTGCACGTCGTACCCGTAGTCGACGGCCCTCGCCTCATCCTTCTTGCCCTCCTTGTTGCCCTTCTTCTCCTCCGCGTGCTGGAGCTGGTGCTGCTCGCCACCGTGGCTGCTGTCGTCGTCCTCGCCCTTGCACCAGCCGCAGCAATTGGCCAGCGACTCGACCGACTGCGGGGCGCGAATGACCCACGGGTCGGTGCGTCGGTTTCACACACATACACACACACACACATGGGGGCACAGCAGGCAGAGCACGCGGCGCGCACGTGGTTTGCAGGGTAGCACTACGTATACACGTCCACGGCGGCATCATCCGTATAAAACAATTTTGGGCGGGGCAATGTGTGTGTGCGTGTGTGTTTGGGGGAGGGAAGGGCTGACATGCAGCAAAGCCTGATGGGTGGAAGCACTCCCGGGCTGGGGGGAGGTGCTCCGGGGCGCGCTGACTGCGCGGACTGCGTCGGGGTCCCCCGGGAGACCCGCGGGTCGATCAATCGCATTCAAACAATCGGAATGGAGCCGGGACGCGCGGGGGCGACCTCTCGGCCGTCAGAGGGAGGTTCACCGGAGAAGATGGATCGCTGGTGGCGATGCTCGGGGTTGCAGAAGAAGGCACAGCAAGGCGCGCCGGGGTGCTGGGGTTGGGGTTGGGATTGGGGTGGGGGTTGGGGTTGGGGTTGGGGTTGGGGTTGGGGTTGGGGTTGGGGTTGGGGTTGGGGTTGGGGTTGGGGTTGGGGTTGGGGTTGGGGTTGGGGTTGGGGTTGGGGTTGGGGTTGGGGTTGGGGTTGGGGTTGGGGTTGGGGTTGTGGTTGGGGTTGGGGTTGGGGTTGGGGTTGGGGTTGGGGTTGGGGTTGGGGTTGGGGTTGGGGTTGGGGTTGGGGTTGGGGTTGGGGTTGGGGTTGGGGTTGGGGTTGGGGTTGGGGTTGGGGTTGGGGTTGGGGTTGGGGTTGGGGTTGGGGTTGGGGTTGGGGTTGGGGTTGGGGTTGGGGTTGGGGTTGGGGTTGGGGTTGGGGTTGGGGTTGGGGTTGGGGTTGGGGTTGGGGTTGGGGTTGGGGTTGGGGTTGGGGTTGGGGTTGGGGTTGGGGTTGGGGTTGGGGTTGGGGTTGGGGTTGGGGTTGGGGTTGGGGTTGGGGTTGGGGTTGGGGTTGGGGTTGGGGTTGGGGTTGGGGTTGGGGTTGGGGTTGGGGGGTCGCTTGGCAGCGAAGCAAGGCTCCGCAGCTCCAGGGGATTATTATTATTATTGTTACACCGAGCAAGCTCTGGCGTGATTGAAGGGGACGGAGGCCTGCCGCCGGGACTCTGGCATTGGCTTATATAGCGAGCCGACCAGCCGCCACCAGTTGTGGTCCAATCCGCACGACAGCTGTACGACGATCCACGACACTATCGCAGTCGTTCTCCTCGCCCCATTATCACTGGGGAACACGGCCAGCTACTAGCCGGAGCCTGGCCCTCCTGATCACACCTCAGCAGCCATCTCGCTAGTACCGACTACCGGGTAGCCTGGGGACCTTGATGCTCGTAGCTACCGCCTTCGCCTTGAGAGGTAGGCGTCCTCCTCCCAGGGATACGGTCCCGCCCAGTAGCTCCGACTAACTACATCACTTAGAATCGCCAACTGCCCACACCGACGACGCAAGTTGGTAAGCCATCATCCAACCTTCTACACCCTGGCCACCTGCCAGGGGGCCAGCGGTGGGATTCGAACCTACATCTCCCAATGTCAACCCGGAGAAGTATGGGATCGAACCCATGGCCATCGAAATGCCAAACGAGTGCTCTACCAATTGAGCTACGGGGGGGGGGTCAGGCCTACATTGCAGTCGGCCTATGGGTCGGCCTATGGGCGGCCTATGGGTCGGCCTACGGGTCGGAATATGGGTCGGTCTATAAGCCGGCCTACGGGTCGGACTACGGGTCGGCCGATGGGCCGGCCTACGGGTTAGCCTACGGGTCGGCCTATGGGTCGGCCTATGGGTCGGCCTATGGGTCGGCCTATGAGCCGGCCTACGGGTCGGCCTATGGGTCGGCCTATGGGCCGGCCTACGGGTCGTCCTATGGGTCGGCCTATGGGCCGGCCTATGGGTCGGCCTATGGGCCGGCCTATGGGTCGGCCTATGGGTCAGCCTATAGGTCGGTATATGGGTCGGCCTATGGGTCGGCCTATGTGCCGGCCTGTGGGTCGGCCTATGGGCCGGCCTATGGGTCGTCCTACGGGTCGGCCTTCGGCCGGCCTACGGGTCGGCCTATGGGTCGGCCTATGAGCAGGCCTATGGGTCGGTCTATAAGCCGGCCTACGGGTCGGACTACGGGTCGGCCTATGGGTCGGCCGATGGGTCGGCCCATGGGTCGGCGTATGGGTCGGCCTACGGGTCGGCCTACGGGTCGGCCTACGGGCCGGCCTATGGGCCGACCTATGGTACGGCCTATGGGTCGACCTACGGGTCGGCCTACGGGTCGGTCTATGAGCCGGCCTATGGGTCTGCCTATGGGTCTGCCTATGGGTCGGCTTATGGGTCGGCCTATGGGTCGGCCTACGGGTCGGCCTACGGGTCGGCCTATGGGTCGGCCTATGGGTCGGCGTATGGTTCGGCGTATGGGTCGGCCTACGGGTCGGCCTACGGGTCGGCCTACTGGTGGACCTATGAGCAGGCCTATGGGCCGGCCTACGGGTCGGCATACGGGTCGGCCTATGGGTCGGCCTATGGGTGGGCCTATGGGTCGGCGTATGTGTCGGCCTATGGTTCGGCGTATGGGTCGGCCTACGGGTCGGCCTACGGGTCGGCCTACGGGTCGGCCTACGGATGGACCTATGAGCAGGCCTATGGGCCGGCCTACGGGTTAGCCTACGGGTCGGCCTATGGGTCGGCCTATGGGTGGGCCTATGGGTCGGCCTATGGGTCGGCCTACGGGTCGGCCTACGGGTCGGCCTATGGGTCGGCCTATGGGTCTGCCTATGGGTCGGCCTATGGGTCGGCCTATGGGTCGGCCTATGGGTCGGGTCGGCCTACGGGTCGGCCTACGGGCAAACCTATGGGTCGGTCTATTAGCCGGCCTATCGGACGGTCTATGAGCCGGCCTATGCGTCGGCCTATGGGTCGGCCTATGGGTCGGCCTACGGGTAGGCCTACGAGTCGGCCTATGGGCGGCCTATGGGTCGGCCTATGGGCCGACCTATGGTACGGCCTATGGGTGGGCCTACGTGTCGGCCTACGGGTCGGTCAATGAGCCGGCCTATGGGTCGGCCTATGGGTCGGCCTATGGGTCGGCTTATGGGTTGGCCTATGGGTCGGCCTACGGGTCGGCCTACGGGTCGGCCTATGGGTCGGCGTATGTGTCGGCCTATGGTTCGGCGTATGGGTCGGCCTACGGGTCGGCCTACGGGTCGGCCTACGGGTGGACCTATGAGCAGGCCTATGGGCCGGCCTACGGGTCGGCATACGGGTCGGCCTATGGGTCGGCCTATGGGTGGGCCTATGGGTCGGCGTATGTGTCGGCCTATGGTTCGGCGTATGGGTCGGCCTACGGGTCGGCCTACGGATGGACCTATGAGCAGGCCTATGGGTCGGCCTATGGGTCGGCCTACGGGTCGGCCTACGGGTCGGCCTATGGGTCGGCCTATGGGTCTGCCAATGGGTCGGCCTATGCGTCGGCCTATGGGTCGGCCTATGGGTCGGCCTACGGGTAGGCCTACGAGTCGGCCTATGGGCGGCCTATGGGTCGGCCTATGGGCCGACCTATGGTACGGCCTATGGGTGGGCCTACGTGTCGGCCTACGGGTCGGTCAATGAGCCGGCCTATGGGTCGGCCTATGGGTCGGCCTATGGGTCGGCTTATGGGTTGGCCTATGGGTCGGCCTACGGGTCGGCCTACGGGTCGGCCTATGGGTCGGCGTATGTGTCGGCCTATGGTTCGGCGTATGGGTCGGCCTACGGGTCGGCCTACGGGTCGGCCTACGGGTGGACCTATGAGCAGGCCTATGGGCCGGCCTACGGGTCGGCATACGGGTCGGCCTATGGGTCGGCCTATGGGTGGGCCTATGGGTCGGCGTATGTGTCGGCCTATGGTTCGGCGTATGGGTCGGCCTACGGGTCGGCCTACGGGTCGGCCTACGGGTCGGCCTACGGATGGACCTATGAGCAGGCCTATGGGCCGGCCTACGGGTTAGCCTACGGGTCGGCCTATGGGTCGGCCTATGGGTGGGCCTATGGGTCGGCCTATGGGTCGGCCTACGGGTCGGCCTACGGGTCGGCCTATGGGTCGACCTATGGGTCGGCCTATGGGTCGGCCTATGGGTCGGCCTATGGGTCGGCCTATGGGTCGGGTCGGCCTACGGGTCGGCCTATCCTACGGGCAAACCTATGGGTCGGTCTATTAGCCGGCCTATGGGACGGTCTATGAGCCGGCCTATGCGTCGGCCTATGGGTCGGCCTATAGGGCAGGCCTATGGGTCGGCCGATGGGCCGGCCTATGGGTCGGCCTATGGGTCGGCCTACGGGTAGGCCTACGAGTCGGCCTATGGGCGGCCTATGGGTCGGCCTATGGGCCGACCTATGGTACGGCCTATGGGTGGGCCTACGTGTCGGCCTACGGGTCGGTCAATGAGCCGGCCTATGGGTCGGCCTATGGGTCGGCTTATGGGTCGGCCAATGGGTCGGCCTACTAGTCGGCCTATGGGTCGGCCTATGGGTCGGCCTATGGGCCGACCTATGGTACGGCCTATGGGTCGGTCTTCGGGTCGGCCAACGGGTCGGTCTATGAGCCGGCCTATGGGTCGGCCTATGGGTCGGCCTACGGGTCGGTCAATGAGCCGGCCTATGGGTCGGCCTATGGGTCGGCCTATGGGTCGGCTTATGGGTTGGCCTATGGGTCGGCCTACGGGTCGGCCTACGGGTCGGCCTATGGGTCGGCGTATGTGTCGGCCTATGGTTCGGCGTATGGGTCGGCCTACGGGTCGGCCTACGGGTCGGCCTACGGGTGGACCTATGAGCAGGCCTATGGGCCGGCCTACGGGTCGGCATACGGGTCGGCCTATGGGTCGGCCTATGGGTGGGCCTATGGGTCGGCGTATGTGTCGGCCTATGGTTCGGCGTATGGGTCGGCCTACGGGTCGGCCTACGGGTCGGCCTACGGGTCGGCCTACGGATGGACCTATGAGCAGGCCTATGGGCCGGCCTACGGGTTAGCCTACGGGTCGGCCTATGGGTCGGCCTATGGGTGGGCCTATGGGTCGGCCTATGGGTCGGCCTACGGGTCGGCCTACGGGTCGGCCTATGGGTCGACCTATGGGTCGGCCTATGGGTCGGCCTATGGGTCGGCCTATGGGTCGGCCTATGGGTCGGGTCGGCCTACGGGTCGGCCTATCCTACGGGCAAACCTATGGGTCGGTCTATTAGCCGGCCTATGGGACGGTCTATGAGCCGGCCTATGCGTCGGCCTATGGGTCGGCCTATAGGGCAGGCCTATGGGTCGGCCGATGGGCCGGCCTATGGGTCGGCCTATGGGTCGGCCTACGGGTAGGCCTACGAGTCGGCCTATGGGCGGCCTATGGGTCGGCCTATGGGCCGACCTATGGTACGGCCTATGGGTGGGCCTACGTGTCGGCCTACGGGTCGGTCAATGAGCCGGCCTATGGGTCGGCCTATGGGTCGGCTTATGGGTCGGCCAATGGGTCGGCCTACTAGTCGGCCTATGGGTCGGCCTATGGGTCGGCCTATGGGCCGACCTATGGTACGGCCTATGGGTCGGTCTTCGGGTCGGCCAACGGGTCGGTCTATGAGCCGGCCTATGGGTCGGCCTATGGGTCGGCTTATGGGTCGGCCTATGGGTCGGCCTACGGGTCGGCCTATGGGTCGGCCTATGGGTCGGCCTATGGGCCGGCCTATGGGTCGGCCTATGGGTCGGCCTATGGGTCGGCCTATGGGTCGGCCTATGGGTCGGCCTATGGGCCGGCCTATGGGTCGGCCTATGGGTCAGCCTATAGGTCGGTATATGGGTCGGCCTATGGGTCGGCCTATGTGCCGGCCTGTGGGTCGGCCTATGGGCCGGCCTATGGGTCGTCCTACGGGTCGGCCTTCGGCCGGCCTACGGGTCGGCCTATGGGTCGGCCTATGAGCAGGCCTATGGGTCGGTCTATAAGCCGGCCTACGGGTCGGACTACGGGTCGGCCTATGGGTCGGCCGATGGGTCGGCCCATGGGTCGGCCTATGGGTCGGCCTACGGGTCGGCCTACGGGTCGGCCTACGGGCCGGCCTATGGGCCGACCTATGGTACGGCCTATGGGTCGACCTACCGGTCGGCCTACGGGTCGGTCTATGAGCCGGCCTATGGGTCGGCCTATGGGTCGGCTTATGGGTCGGCCTATGGGTCGGCCTAAGGGTCGGCCTACGGGTCGGCCTATGGGTCGGCGTATGTGTCGGCCTATGGTTCGGCGTATGGGTCGGCCTACGGGTCGGCCTACGGGTCGGCCTACCGGTGGACCTATGAGCAGGCCTATGGGCCGGCCTACGGGTCGGCATACGGGTCGTCCTATGGGTCGGCCTATGGGTGGGCCTATGGGTCGGCGTATGTGTCGGCCTATGGTTCGGCGTATGGGTCGGCCTACGGGTCGGCCTACGGGTCGGCCTACGGATGGACCTATGAGCAGGCCTATGGGCCGGCCTACGGGTTAGCCTACGGGTCGGCCTATGGGTCGGCCTATGGGTCGGCCTATGGGTCGGCCTATGAGCCGGCCTACGGGTCGGCCTATGGGTCGGCCTATGGGCCGGCCTACGGGTCGTCCTATGGGTCGGCCTATGGGCCGGCCTATGGGTC